TGCGCTCTGATGAGGTAATGGGGCAAAGCCAGGGTGACCACAGTATTTCTATCTCCCTGGCCCTTTCCTGGCCTCTCTGAAGGTGGCGGAGATGCTAGGAGCCAGTCTGGCATGTGTTGCATCCATTCTTCTGCTGGTAGGATGGTGCTCGAAGAGCCCCAAATGCTTCAGGACTGGTTGGTTGATTTTAGTCCTGTCTGAGCCTTGGAAACTCCTCTCGCGTTTCAGATCTGCCTTAGAAACTATTGTGTGGCAGGACAGAAACAGAAGTGAGTTTAACCTGTGGCCTGGCCCATGTGGTGCAGCCTAGTGCCTCTGGCAGAAGAAGAATTGGGCTTCAGTTCGATATTCTGTAAAATATTAATTTCAGTAATATTCTTTGATGGGTGTCAGTATGTGTATAGAGCTGTGACAGTTCATTTGAAACCATGGAAGAATCAATTTGTATGTATAAGGGCATGACCGGGTTATCATGAGTAAAAGGTCCTAGCTAAAAGGAAGTTTGTCTCTCTTCTGGGCTGCCCTTGCCTTACAAGGCCATCAAGCTTGCAAGAAGGCAGCTAAATTAAGTTATAGTTGGGCAGCAGCATAGGATCTGTGAATATATAGGTCACTTTGCATTGATTCTAGCCTTCTAATTTTAGGCTATGTCCTTTCCTTTTCCTTAATGTGAACCCATTACAATGAACTGCTCTGACTGCTGATCACTCAGTGGAATGGGCAGTAATAATTACAGAAAAGTCACCTAGGCATGGGTAAAACAGTGCAATTTCTTCTTTTCCAAAATCCGTAACAGAGGCAGCTACATTTGTAATTTCTACTGTAATCAAGATGGAGTAGAAGAGTAGAAGGTGAGCACGTTACCTTTGTAGATGTCACCAGCCTGAGAGTTGCAGTTGTCAAGGGTGGTATCAAGAAAACCTCTGTAGTTTTGATCAACTGGACTCCATAAAAGAACAACCAGAATGGTTATATAACTAGAAGAAGTTATATATGAGAAGATTTGGAAAATGCAAGCAGCTTAGCCTCCTGGAACAGGCTGCCGAGAGAGGTTGTGGAGTCTTCTTCTCTGGGGATCTTCAAAACCCACTTGGATGCAGTTCTGTGCCACGTGCTGTAGGTGACCCTGTGTGTGCAGGGGGGTTGGACTAGATGATCTCTAGAGGTCCCTTCCAACCTTAAGCATTCTATGATTCTGTGATTCTCCCAGAAGGTAAAGGTGAGGTGGACATAAGTGCCCATGTAGGTAGAAAGCTCCTTCAGAGAGCAGCAGTGCCCTGTTCTCATGGCTGCAGCAGATGAGAGCAGAGGTAACAGGGTCTGAACTCCTCCAGGACAGATTCAGGTTAACTAATAGGGAAAGCTTTCTGGCAGAAAAGATGACAGAACCCTGGGATGGGTTGCCTGGAGGGAGCATTGCCTGCTGGAAATGCTGTTGCTGAAGGTTGTTAAGGACAGAAGCCATCACGTATAAGGCAGGTAATTGCATTCCCTTCTTACGGCCAGGGACAGGGGGTTCAGTAACTTTTGGAGATTCTTTCTAGCTGCTGAGATTTTGTTAGGATTTCTTCCTGAGGTAAAATAAATTGTAGGTAATAACACTGCCAAGCGGAAATATGGCTTTTTTCTTACAGAACAATTTCCTGCGTGCTTTCTGAATTCTCAGTACCTAAAAAGCTCTGATCTCATATGGCCAAGCTTCCTTGGACAACAGTTATTTCATGCGGCTCCTATCTCAGCCAAGTGGGCTACTTTGGGCTGGGTGATCTCCAGCCGGGTGGCAATTCAAAATGAAAATGCCACGATGTTTGGCCTCAAATCTCTCAGCCTCCCCAGTGTTAGTTTGGTGGTATTTTTATAAGGGAGGGGAGGGAGAAATCCAGTTTTCCACATAGGAAAACAAGTACCTCCTATGTGTGTGGAGGTGCTTTACATCAAGAATTTGAACTATTTTCCATTTCGCTCCCCCCTGCCTGTCCTATGTGTAGAAGGTGCATGAGCAGAACTGTGGGCGTGGGATGTCATCGTTGACACTGGGTGGCTTCTGGTCCCACTTTTGTGTTGGACAGTGGCCCTGCCTTGGTGAGTGTGTGTGGATCCAGGCATGCTCCACACAGCCAGCCTTTGGGGACTGCTACACTTACAAAACTCCTTCCTATTCCCTCAGTCTCCAGCCCCAGAGTCGCAGCTTGATCCTGATGCTGAGGAGGAGGAGTTGAAGAGGAAGCTGGAGGAGCTAGCCAGCAACATCAGCGACAAAGGAATCTCTTCGGAAGAAGAGGAGCATGAAGAAAAGAAGAGAGCGAAGAAACCAGAAATGAGCTCCTCCAGTGATGACGTGGCCAGCGAGGCCCACCAGGTAACTCGTGTCCTCCCACCCGTGCTCTTCTGGGCCCCGTTTGCAGTTCCTCCTGTTGTAAGCCTCCTACAGCTCCGCTGTGACAGGAGGGCTGTTGGTCTGGCCGACCCTGTCATCTCAAAGGCCGCTAGCACTGCGGGCCGCTTGGTTCAGCGCTTGCCGGAGCAGGATGCCTGCCAGCCAGCAGGGCTGTGTGGCAGCAGCGGTGGCAAGCGACTGATGACGGTCCAGAGGAGTCAGATGTGCGTCAAGGGAAGGGAGACTTTGTGCGTCTCCCGTTGCGCAGATCCAGACGGCCTCTTAGCACAAAACGGAGGTTAAGCACCCAAAGGTGAGTGTTCCCGCAGGGCTCTAATGGCTCCTTTGTCCATCCCTTCCCTCGCGCCCTGCTCATGGAGGGAGCGTGCACGTGTTTGTCTGACACATCCGCTGCTGACCGGCTGCACAAAGGAAGCGAGCGAGCGTGGGCTGCGCTGCCCCTCCTCTCCTAAAAAGCTCCTTTCACCCCAGATTGCCGACACTTCCATTTTGCCACCGGGCACCGTGTTTAATACCCTTTTGTTCTTCGGTCTTGTAAGGAAGAGCTTGGCTGCTGCTGGGCAGATGGCTTGAAGAGTGTGGTAGGAGCAGCTACATGCACACATGTGCCGTGCATTTAATGAGTGCACTCATTTATTTATTTTTACAATTCTCCTTATGCTTTCCTGATATTTACCAGAAATAATTTACAAAGATGCCCCTTGTTAGGATACCCAGTAACTATCTGAAGCAAATTGCATCCCCGGTCACCTGTGAACTCATGGCAATGGGCACAAGCTTTCATTAAGCTCCATTGCACTTCTTTGGCCTGCCCTCATTGAGGTTTGTGTTTTGTGTGATTCAGAGTTTGTTTCTGTATGATCGTACTCTCTGGACGGGAAGAAATTTAGCTGGGGAACACTGCGATAAAAGCAGCCTTCCTAATGGAAAACATGAAACTTGGCTGTGCCACTGAGGCACAATAAAATAATAAAAATGTCAGCTGCATGGAGTGAGCTGGTTCGTTGCGGAATGGCTTGCCTGGAAATACGTGTGGTTGTGAACACAACTGTTTGTCTTTGTCTCCAGCGCATATATCACCTCCATCTCCTTGGTATCTAGGGAATTATCAGCAGAGAGGAGGATGATGAGTTTCTTCAGTCTATTTTTAAATATGCTTAATGCTTTATCAAGCAAAAGGGCTAATGCAGGCAGCGCTTACAGGTGATGTTGTTATCAGGACTCCTCGGGGTGAGAGAAGGGGGACACGAGCCCCAAGCTTTAGCCGAGGGGGAAATGCGACGCTGACCGTGGCTAACGGCAGCTCCGCTTGCACGTTGACGAGATTTCTTTTGTCACAGCCATCCTCGAGGACGTGCGGGCTGAGATCAAAGCTCTCTTTTAGCCGCATTCCCATCTCTGCTTGAGAGCCCTCCAGGGACAATGAAGCCCCGTCATTACCGCAGCTCCATCTTCCTCCGGCTCCGGAAGGCCCGGTGCCCCTTTCACCCCATTCTCGCTGGTTTTGTGCACCCGTGAGCACCTGCTAAAATAACATCCTTTCTTCTCCCCTCTCCCTTCTTCCTGCCTGCCCTCTGCTTCGGCTGCGCCGGGCGCTCGCAGAGATCTGCAGCTCAGGCTTTGAGCGACATCACGGCCAAAGTCCTGAGGGCCATAAACGCCACGGAGAGAGCGGTCTATGAGTCCGTGCACGGAGAGAGCCAGGGCAGTGGCACCTGCGCCCTCCCCGGCCTGACAGACAGCAGAGAGGTGGCCGAAGCGTACCGTGACCTTGAAGCAAACGTAAGGTTCCCACACATTTCCTGTGAGCAGGGAGGGAAGGAGGGGCGGAATGCAGAGGACTGCCAAAATCTCTGGCAGGGGGTATTTTGGCACTAGGAGGCTAGGTGTCCCACAGGGATCAGAGAGTTAGGTGCATGATCTCCATGTGCACGTAAAGATCCTGTGATGTGTCCATAGAAAGGGCGGGAGCCACAAGGATGGTGAGCAAGGAGGCTGCCAGGCTCAGGGTCCGACCTGCGATCCCCGGACAGGAGGGGTGTGACAGGGGAGCCAAGCGCTGGAAAATAGGGTGTTTCCAGCTGCACTTCTCCTCCTCTGGAATTTGAAGCAGATGCATAGTAAGTTGCAGAGCTGTAAAGTTCAGGGGACTTTAGGGAGAGTAAAAGTTTTTAGCCATTCGGCAAGGAGTAACAGGGTGTTTCCAGCTGCACTTCTCCTCCCCTGTAAAGTTCAGGGGACTTCAGGGAGAGTAAAAGTTTTTAGCCATCAGGCAAGGGGTTGACTCATCATGTTTACTTAAATGCCTCAGACAGCAGGAAGTGGTTGCAATGGATGAAGAGCAAAGGCCCTTTAGCTCAGGGCCTTGTCTGATGGAGGCCAGGACCTTTTCTCAGTTCGGTGGTGGGTGGCTGTTGTCCCACTCCCGTCGGGTTCTTCTCCAGCAGTGCGAGGCTGGGCCAGCATGTTGCACGATCACGGGTGACTTGTACAAGGGGCTGATGGGCTCCTATGGATCTGTTTAAATCCCATGGTTGCTTTGTGTGACCATGGAGCAAGCTTGCTGGCTACCATATTCCTGCGGGCTTTTCCATTTGCACTTTGACTCCCTGGGGAAGTGAGTGGCTGCAGCTTCGAGCTGTTCCTGTGACTTGATAAATGGCACTGCATACGCAAAGAGTTGCCTCTCCATCTGAGGGGCTGAGCTTTGCTTTCAGAAACCTCCTGTGACAGCAAATGGGCTTTTATAATGTGCCCATCTTGTGTCTCATCAGAGGTGGCTTCCTCCTTTAAGTGGGTGGCCACAAGGAGCTGGGCGCTTTCAGAAACAGCCCGTGCCAGCTGGGTCCTGGTCCATGGCAGCATCCTGGGGAAAGCGGGTGCCTGCGTGAGGCCATCTGAGCAGGGGGGTACTGCTGGGAAGGATGCAAGCTCCGGGCTTCCCGGCTGCTTCCATCAGCTGTTTGGCAGCGAGGTGGGTAGGATACGGCCCTTGGAGCAGGGTGCTCATCCCACCGCATCCCTCTGGGGCTTCAGTGGCGTCGCTCCCGGCTTGCCACGCGCCCAGGCATGCCACCGGGGTGCTCTTGCTCAGGAAATGCTGCGGCTCTGCCGCTTAGTGGCCTGACGCGGGTCCCCATCCCCGGGACTCGCACGTTGTCCGCTCGGGCAGCATCACGGGGCGCTGTTTGCAGCCAGCGGCAGACGTGCTGCCTCGCACGTTGCACTGGGACCAGCACAACCTGGGAGTGCTCTGCACCTGGATGGAAGCCGGTACCTCAGTGTGGGGAGAGGGCTCGTGCCAGCCAGCCGCACGCGGTACCCAGTCTGGGGAGGTGGCAGCACGTAGGTTGGCAGCACATAGTTTAGCAGCACCAAGGCTCTGAGATCATTCAGCAGAGCGTGGCAGCCACCACCAGCTGCTGCGGCTGCCCCATGTTATTGCACACAGATGCATTCGTGCCTCGTAAACTGCCTTGCTTGGATTCGCATGCCCATGGTAGCCAAGGAGGATTCAAGTGACAGTAAATCCAGTGAGTTTGCTAGGAGGGGTGGTCACACTCCTTTCATCTCGCTTATCTAGGCAGCAAGGTAAACGCGTTGCTCCCAGGAGCTATGTGCATCCCTAGCCACCTCAGTGCTGCCTTGGGCTCCGTGCTTACATACGTCACTTGGGGCACCCAGCTGGGATCACTTCTGAGTGTCATATCCAGAGCAGCTCCTGTGCCCTGGAGCCTTTTGCAAGCGCCAGGTCGGTTAACTGCCCCAAGTTGAATTCCTAAATTCTGATCCTGCCGGCAGGCAACCCAGCCACACAGACACCCTTAAAAATGAGCAGATTTGGAAAGTCAGTCTGTCTTGATCCTCAGATAACCTCTTTCTAGCCTGCCACCATAGGACATGGTAGCCTGCACTTGTTTCTGGATATCCACCTCCCACCGAGGACGTGGCCTAAAGATGCTGACACTACTTGAGAGGAGTTGTACTGCTCCACATAGTCACGTTGAGCCTTTTACTACTTCACCCATTTGGTAACTGGCCTTCAAAAGCTCAGGGGAGGGAGAAAATGTGATGAAAAGCCCTGCCAGAACCGAAAGATACTGGCTGTGCTGCAAGGCGAGAAGGCAGTTGTAAATAGTGGCCACCTCAGTGGTGGGAGTTGTATCTGGGGCTCTGGTCACACAAGTAGAGGAAGCAGACAGGGACATTAGTTGAGCCACAGTGGCCCTTCTTTTTCAGGTGTACCTGACTGCTGGGAAGACATACCGGCTTGAGAAGACCCTGGAAGAGCTTGAGGAAGGGGCTCAGCATGGCGGCACCACCGACTCGGAGCTGTCGGAGCTGGAGGACAGAGTGGCCTCGGCCGCTGCTCAAGTACAGCAGGCAGAGAGCGAGGTGAGGGCCTGACTCGGGGAGCTGTTACCTGCCTAACGCCCAGTGACAGCAAACAAAGCTGGCAGAGGCCTTGCCGCTTTCATTACCTGAGTGCCTCGCACTGCTGGCAGGCAGCTGTGCCTTTCTCAATGCAGTTGTGGACAGCCTGGACACTGTCTGCATGTTTTGCCTCCCTCCAAAGGTATCGGACATCGAAACCCGAATTGCGGCCCTGACAGCTGCAGGGCTCACAGTGAAGTCGGTGGAGAAGGCGAGGAAGAAACAGGGCGCGCAGGTGAGCATGAGGATGGTGGAGGTGAAGCCCAGCCCTGAGCGGTGCATGCTCCATCATCCCCTGCTTCCATCCCTGGTGTGTTGGGCAGGGGGACTCTCTCTCCTCTTGTAAAGAGGGGATTCAGGGCCGTTGCATGCACAGCAGCCTGTCCTCGACTCAGGAGATGTGCTGCACCCTGTGCTTCAGC